ACCAGAACCAGTGGTGGGTAGCACTAATCTAAAAATTAATCCCACTAGCCCTAAAACACTAACTTTTATTTAAAATTAATATATAGATTTATAATTCAGGATTTTTTATTATGTTCCTAGTTTGTTTTTGAGTTATTCTTTCTCTTAAAATATTACCCTGTGTTTAAATGAGTTTTTCATCTTCAGGGTGGTTTAAGTGTTTTACTTATTTTATTCTTTCATTCTTTTCAAACTAACAACAGATTCCTGTTTTGTTGTATTATATAAATATGTTCAAGTTTATTAATGTGAGAGAAATCCACATTCTCTGTTCATTCAGTCAGTGTTTACTCACACAGCTGGCACAATGAATTGTTAAAATAATACTGTTTTTTTATTTAGTGTGTAAAAAAATTAGCCCTTCATGTTATAGAAAGAGAAATGTCAAGTTTTTAGGAAAACGGCTGCTTATCAATTAATGGTTAGTCGAGCGATAAGATCAATCAACTTTAGATTAATCCATTAATCGAAAACTTGCATCCCTATTTTGAACACTGACCCAAATCAGAAAAGGTTCCTGTGAACAGCGGTATAGTTTCCATCACCTACCTGCAGATGAGGAATCAAGAAGAATGTGGCTAAAAGTCAGAACCTGAAGTGAAACTCTGCCTGTTTGCTTATTTCACTGTTTCCAAAYGGCCCGTGGAGAAAACTCACAGCTTTGTGGCTCAGCAAACCACCGGAGAAAATATGACAGATCCTCAGGAGGAAAACAGGGCAACGAGAATATCAGGTATGATTTCAAGTGCATGAAGAGCAGAGCATTATTTGTTCATATTTGATATTAAGATTTTATCTGCAATTAAAATGCACTGAGTGTTTATGGCACGGCAGGCCAGCATTAAACAATATCGCATGTTTACGAATAACCCAATAAGGCAGTATCTTTTTTTAAATTTCTGTTACGATAAGAATTTTCCAAATAGCAGTTTAAATAGCCTGAACACGTTCAGAAGGTTACACCCTGCCCACCAGTAAACTGCTTCATGGAGGAGGCTTTTCCATGAAGCACTGCTGAACCTGCATGCTAGAAGCACCAACACAAGAGTCGTGGGAGTCGCCTCCTCAGTAACTGGCAGCAGGAGGCCACTTACAAAAAAAACTCACATTTTCACCATGACTGAATGTAGAATACACGTCTTCAGTGATGTGCAAAGATAGACTTCATGTGTGAAGTTAATTTGCCTGATAATGATCTTTGCTCAACGCTCTTCATTCACGACTGTACCTGCCTCCCCTCACTGCTAATATGACACAAGCCCAGAATACAGTGGTGGGCACCAGCCCGCTAAAGCGCAAATCCGCTAATTGGGGACCTAAATATTTCGTTTGCACTTTAGCGGTCTTACTA